AAACAGATGCATGAATAAATAATGTAAGGAAACATAAGGCCGCTGAAAGCAATCTTTAAAGTACAAACTGTTTACTTTTCCACATTTTGTGACTCTAAATCCACAAACTTCAATATATTTTAAGGTGGTTTTAAGTGATAGACAAATAGACCAATAAACAGCAGTGCATATTTGTGAGGGGCAGGGAAATGGTTTTCAAAGTTTATTAAAAATGTCAAATTCTACAAGTGGGGACTCTAGTTGTTTTTAGCTTCCCTTTCTCTTATACCTCTAAAGAAACCTCGTGCAACCAGTGGACTTCAGAAGCCACAATTAGTAAATTAGGTCCACCTGGGTGTAGTATAATCAATGTATTAACAAAGTTGTTTTGTGACCTATTATGCTTACTTAAACAGGTTAGGTCTATGGACTATACAAAATATGTTCATTACATTTTTTTGTACAAACTCATTCTTAGATGATGAGATTTTAATCTGCTCAGTTCTGCCTATTTTGAGCTCATTTCAGAACAGAGCTGTTTTAGAGCCTCTTGTCACTTTAAATCAAAATAAGCCGCTTCTGGCCACGCCCCCCACAACTCAACATTTACACTCACACATGAAAATGGCTGCGACCAGATGCGCAATTATATAACTGTAGATCTTTGAAAAGCAGAGCATCCTGCGTAACCAACAAGAATGCAGCAAGTGATTTCTGGATGGTAAGTCAACAGCAAAACAGTTGTCTTTTCCAGCAGCCATTGCACGGCGCATACAGCGGTAAAAACCGGCTGACCAAACATGCTGGAGCGCCACCTGGGTTGCCGGGTGACAGCCTGGGCTTTGCTGGGGTTGCTAGGTAAGGGGACATGCTGATTTGTAACCTGACATTACAGAGATCTTTTAAACGGGTCATTTTTCAGACACCAAAAAAACATTAACTTGCCATTAAAAACCAGCTGGGTGTCATTTTTTTCTGCTGTGGTTTTTATAAGCACTTGGGCTGGTTTTATCTATATATGAATAATTAGTGTGTTTTTTATTGATGGGTTTTTTCCCCCTCATTTTCTACTTGAATCCCAGAATCTGTGCATAACTTAGTTACATAGATGTAAAATATTAAATCGTGTGTTGTGATCAGTAACTCAGTCCTTGAGTAGCCTTTTTACAGAATACTTTTTTACTCTTATTTCAGTCATTTCTTGGAAATCTACTTTTTATTTTTAATTGCTGCTTTTACTTAAGTACAATTTCTCTACCCACCTCTGTTAGTCCATCATGCAACAACAAAAAGAGTGGCACAACTGCAAACCTACCACAATGTGACTACACACACCTAAATTGCCTGGCTGAGCACTCAACCATTATTTTTTACTTTACTACTCACCTTCTTTCGCACCCCCTCCTGAACACTGGAGAGTTTGAGAAGAACAGGTGGCAGAAACTTGGAGATGATATCCTGAAGCTGGTCATCAGTTTCTGCATGGCCCAGGCGAAGGAACACACGTTCCAGTTGATCTAATCAAAACACACTCTTACTTCACCGGCACACCAAGTCATGGTATCAGCAGCTCCTACTGTACAGTATCTTTCGATTTTAATATGAATCTTTAACTCATTGGTGACTGCAGACACCCTCTGGGTTAAATTAACCATGTTAAGTCATACTGGAAAGAAGCATTTTGTCCTATTACGGCCGATGAGCTCAACCTGCCAGCTGCTGTACATAACCCAACCATGCACTCCTTCTCCTGGCTTAGCTTTCTAAGCCGTTAGCAACAAATGACAAGATAGTCCACGGAGGACATCATCTTTTTTTTTTGTTTGTTTTAATTAGCATGAAAGCAGCAAATATTTTTCGAAGCAGTGACACACCCGTGTAACTTAACCTAATTGTCACAAATGCCAAAAATGCAAATATCCACTGTAAGGCATTGGTGAGAGGACATATATAAGAAGCCGATGTGATAGTTTTATTTTCACCATGACTGGGCAAACGGCCTCCTGACGTTAGCATGTCAGCTAGCTACGTAGCCTGCTCCCAACCTAGTTTTAAACTGAATTTGGCGTTATCATTACTTTATAAACAGCCTTAGTAGCAGGGCGGGCAAAAACACATCGCTACATCTGTTTTGGCAACCACAAATGGGACATTTAAGAGGATATGAATCGTTAACAAGGCAGAAAGAAACTTACTGAGTTCATCCTGGGCAGCCATGTTTGCACTAAGTCATCAGTGACCCTCCCAGTTGACAGAGACTGCCGCTTCTTTGGAGTGCCAATAGTGCCACGACGTAATACACGAGTTAATAATCGTAATTATTAAACAATTATTTCCGTTATTAATTAAATGGCGTCGGACATAAATAAATTTTATGAATAAACTGATTATGTTACATCAACAAATATTTTGTTATATTTAAAATATTTTAATGTAATGTTAAATTTTGAAGTTATATGTGGAAAAGATACAAAACTATATCATTATTTCTTTTTTGTATTACTTTATGTGTTTCTATCCATTATGAAGAAAATTGAATTGTCCATCCATCCATCCATCCATCCATCCATCCATCCATCCATCCATCCGTTTATGTACAGCTCAATCCCAAGGTGTTTTTGAGGCTTAAAGGGTTACCCCCTTCCGGCATGTTCTAGCATGCATTACTGCAGATGAGCCTACAATCCATCTATCCAACACCTACGTCAACCACCCATTATCGTAACTAACACTAAGACTCTTAATCTCTTCGCTTGACGCGCATGCTAATCTTGACTAGCTATGAACCTTTTTCCAGTTTTAAACAAAGGGCTCAGTCTTGGAGAAGTAGACTCTTATTTACACTTGGCTCCACTGCAAGCATACCACAGCATGCTATGTCCTGGTATCTTCAGGACATAGCATGTCATGAAGGTATCAGTACATGATATGCATAAGTCTTGCCTTTTTGAAATAGACAAGGCTTATGATCTTGATTTGCAAAAGAGCAAAGACAAGATCATAAGTTTCCAAGCAGACATCCTCCTCTCCATATACTCTTTCAGATCTTGCCCATCAAAACCACAAACATGATTGAAAATCAGTACTGGTAGAATCCAATCTACACTGAAAACAAGCTCGGTAGATAACATCTGGCACAGAGTGCCACAAGTGGCCCTCTCCTTAAAAACAAGGTTCAACTGCATGTTTTTATGGAGATATGAGGTGAACCATTCAACGACCAAAAAATATCCTCAGGGTTCAAGGTGTATGTGTATTCCCAAAAGGGGTTGCATGCAATACTGTGTAAAAATTTAAACCACAACGGATTTGATTACATTTTGCTTCCAATATATCATAGAGTTTTTCTGTTTTGTTTTTTTTGTTTTGTTTTTTTCAATTTTTGAGGAATACCACTTAGAAAAACTTTTTAGTATTTCAGAAATTACTGTTCTACTGGAATTTTCATGCACAAACATCTCTTGGGTTTACAGAAACTGGTCCAAAACCAACAATGTATCCACTGTGCAGCAGCTGTGTGAGTCTTTAAGTTCAGAGATCAAAGTAGTGTTGACAGACTAAGTGAATAAGATAACATGAAGGCAACAGTAGCTCAATGACCACTTGTTACAACCAAAGTGTGCTGAGAACCATCTCTAAGCACACAACTCTTCAAACATCGAAACAGATGGACTTTAGCAGAAAAAATTTCATCAAACTGGATGCCATCTCTGAAAGCTGAGAAGTGGAAACTGATTCAACGACTGGCACACTGAACGCAGCATTACTGTAACCTGCCACCAGCACTTGTTCTTGGTTTACTGACCTTTGCATCAGTTTCTGCTGAGTGCTTGTTGAAATGTTTTCCACAGCAGTTTGCTCCAAACAGTTCTGTTTGGATCACAGATCAATGTGTTGAACTACTGGATTTTTTTGACTGTTTGACTGCTTACAGCTAATTTGCTTTGTGTTACCTTGTAAATACAGTATTCAAACCAACTTTTCTACTGTGTACCACAAAGAAAAGTAGTGCACAGTAGAAAATATACTACTAGTTTGAAAACCATGGATTTAAATCTGTGTATTCCAATAAGAGTTACATCCATTCATCCAGCCGTCGTCTACCTGCATATCCTTGTAGACTCAAAGGGGCGCATCAGTAGGGGATTGGTGGGGTACACCCTGGACAGGTCATACTGAGATGAAATGAAGACAGTCCATTACACATATGTATATGAAGTACTCGGCAAAATGTTTAACCAAACCATAATTTTTGTACTGTTAGTAAAACTTTCTTCCAATTTTGGCACAGCAGAAATTCTCTAAATTAATCAATGATGGAATACAAGCTTCTCAAGACAAACCTGACCAAAAGAAGCAGTGGTCATTTTTGATATGGGGGAAATTTCTTTCTGCCTGGGGCAGCACAGCATAGAGAGTGCCACTGTGGTGGTGGGAACCCGTGTTAGCACTAGAAGAAAAATATTGCTTTGCATATTTATATATGCAAATAGCCGACATATATAATAGCCTCTCTCTCTCTCTCTCTCTCTCTCTCTCTCTCTCTCTCTCTTTATATATATATATATATATATATATATAGAGTTTAAAAAGAATCTGATAGATATATTTATAAAATAAAAAATATTAAGTATGCTTCTTTTTTTTCTTCAAAAGATCATGGAACATTTGGGCTCTAAACAAAAGTTATTTTGCTGGACTGCGGGGGGAAAATGGCTCTTTGGATTGTAAACGTTGCAGCCCCCTTCGCCAGCTGATTCGCAGATCTCAAAGTACATGGATGGGGCTACACCACTACGGCCATGACAGTAGCAGCAGCAGCGTAGAGCGCAGGCGATGTGGAGCGCAGCCCCTCTTCTTCACCACACGAAGCAGCAGCTGTCATGTGAATCAGCTGGGTGAACAAGGAAGGAGATAAACAACAACACGACTGCGTCTCTTCATCAAGGTAGGTACAAACTGTTGAGCTTAGTCGGGTTCTCGACAGTTATATTACAGGAAGAATGGTGCACGGAGGCCTGTTTTTTAATCATAGTGTTTAGGAAGCAGGTTACATGTCGTGGCTCTTGTTGCAGAATGTTCGAAGCTATCAGCGGCTAACCCTTTAGCACTGGCAATCACTGAAGTTGGCAATCGTGCTTCTGCTGTGAGCACTCATGTCTTTATTTGTTTGTCTTACGAGTAAATCTGCAAGTCACGAACAAACACACCAGCACTGAAACTCCAGAATGAAGCAGTTCGACTACAAGAAGTCGGAAAGGATGTAGCTAAGGGCCTATGTGAAGCCACCTTGCGAGGGGCATTTAAACCCCATTCACTGTACTGTAACAAGTTAGCTAACGTTACAGCTACGTTAGCCTACTAGTTATTTATACCTTCCATTTACTGCCACTAAAGGTAAGTACTAAGCCGAGTTTTGTGAGATCACATCTGAGAAGCCTGTTGACTGTTTAATTTTACGTGAGCTGGTCACTTGAATTGGCAAGCTGCGCTGTTTGTTCAGCCATTACTCGGCATCATAACAGAACGTAGGCTAGCTGGCTAGTTACGTTGGGAGACAACAAAGATGAGCAGAGTTACACACGCCGAAGTATTAATACTCAAATGCAGCTCAGCGTAGATTTAAACTCCTTCGAGTGTAGCCAGATTTGTTTTAGTTACATTAACTTGTTTCAGGAGGCTATCAAGAATTGTAATAATTTGTTTAAAACCCAAAGTGTGAGACAAAACTGTAGTTTGTCTTTTTTTTAATGTTTACTTTGCTTGCTTTGTTTTAAGTGATCTATTTTTAGTCTGTTGCTGCTTTCTAAAATTTATGATTTATTTTGCGGTAATGTAAATTTAAAAGAGGCAGCATCGAGAGAGAGAGTACAAAAGGGTGAGGAAATCTGAATTCACATGGTGCAATGTGATCCTTTGTGTACTGGCACAGTAAAGTTGGGAGTGGAACTGGGATGGGTGGCTGGGACAAAATGCTGCGAGGGGCAGCTGCAGGTTCAAATAATCAAAACAATATATGCTGAATCTCTACTGCCATCTAATGGTCTAGATTGGGATTTCAGCCATCCCACTAGATGGGGGGTGTTAACCCCCCCCCCCCGACATTTAATATGATAGATTTCTTACATAATTTTGCTCATCGTATTGGGATCTAAAAGGTTAAATAGTTTAGATATGTTTATATCAACTGATATTATTCCTTTAAAATTTTAAAAGTTATTTTCATACCACATGACCTCTTAAAATTAACCTAATTTTAGAGATAAAAAAAGTTTTTACTTCTAAAATGAAAGTATAATGACGGCTAAAAGAAAACACCAACAGTACTATTACTATTAAAATGTAATAGTACTGTTGATATAAACAACTACTATATCAAGCGGGATATAGTCGTTGTTCCTAACAATATAGTTATTTATAAAACATTGAGATGAAATGAAATAAGACTTTTATGGTGCTTTTCAACCCTCAAAGGGTTCTCAAAGACGCTTTACAATAAAATTGGTGACTTCCATCAACACACACATTCACACACTGAATAATGATGCTGATAACAATATTAGTTATAATAATGATGCAAATCATCAGCATGATGTTCATCATAAATGATGGCAAGTAAGGAAAATGAACAATGTAGTTTTAAAGATGTATTCATATTCCTGCAGAAGCAGAATGGGCTGCGCTTCTACTTAGTCATACGTAATATGGCCTCTGATAAGAATCGGCACACAACTGTCTATTGAAAAACGGCGAGAAATAACAGAAGCATTTTGTTTTCCCATCTCAGATTATAGCCACTGAGGAGGCAGGATGGCGGGAGCAGAGGTATCCGCCCCTGCAAACCCCACCTGCAAGATTATGACCTTCAGGCCCACGATGGAAGAATTCAAAGACTTCAACCGGTACCTGGTGTACATGGAGTCTCAGGGTGCACACCGGGCAGGCTTAGCTAAGGTTGGTAGAGACTTTTTCTTCTTTATATGGCATATTTGAGAGGTATACATCATTGCTTCCTCTTTATTGATGTATCAGAGTTTTATTAACCTACTCAAGCGGGATTAAGAAAGTAAATCAGAGAGAAACCTTTTAATGAGTTTCTCTTTGAGAGCGAGCCGAGTGCAATGTTTCCGAATCGGCTCTCATTCATCATTTAGATTTTGCTGTTTCATTTTCACTAATAAGTCTCTGTTTTTTTTTTTTTTTTTTTTGTGCGTGCCAAAGGTGATCCCCCCTAAAGGCTGGAAGCCACGTCGAACCTACGACGATATTGATGATTTAATGATCGACGCTCCGATTCAGCAGATGGTGGCGGGCCAGTCAGGGCTCTTCACTCAGTACAACATCCAGAAGAAGCCTCTTAGTGTGCAGGAGTTCAGGCGGTTAGCAAACAGTGACATGTGAGTATCATAAAAGTATCATAGTATTGCATTTAATATTCAGTATTATTAATTCTTAGTGTTTCACAAACAGGTATTTCAAATTTGGTGCTGGCGGAGGAATATTTTAGAAATTATTTCCTTACCACTTTGTTTGAATTTCATATTGTGTTTGAATTTCACCTTTTGTGTAGCTGAATTTAATTTTTAAGAGTGACCTGCTCTAAGTAGCCATTGTTCCCACAATTAAATGATATTAAACTTTCTTGAAATAAAAATAATACTCATTCAAAGATTAGTCTTCATTTGATTAAAATTAGGAGTGATTAAAGCATTTCTTTTACTCTTAAAGATTTTTTTTATTTAGTAAACTGTGAAATGCATGCAGAGTAACATCTATGCCAAGGTTTAAAAAAAAAAAGAGCAAAAAAAAAAACAATATATTTTTAATTTTCTTTCTTTTTAAAGGTACTGTACACCTCGCTACCTGAATTATGAAGATCTTGAGAGGAAATACTGGAAAAACCTCACTTTTGTCTCACCCATATATGGTGCAGATGTGAGTGGCAGCCTCTATGATGAGGTAGGTGACCTGTCTAGCTCTCTTTACATGGGATTCTTTTTTTATTTTTTTGCCTTTTTTCCCCTTCGTAGTCGGTCATAATCGTCTGTCTGTGTTTAGGTTCGGTGCATGTAGCTTGCAGAGCCTGTAGAATCCTGTATGAAACACTGAAATGCCTTTAATGCAAAGCATTGCAGAGTGTACATCACTTTATATCTCTGGTTTCAGTTTTTATTTTTTGTTGAGAGTATTAATTTAATATGGTCACAGTCATTTTTTACAGAAAGATCTGGGATTTCATTGGAACATAATATTTTATGTAGCTCATAAAAACAAAACAAAACAACAACAAAAAAAAAAACAGGATTGTAAATTGTCTGTAGCACCGGTTTAAGCCCCTGTTTCCAATTTCCTAGGACGTAGAAGAGTGGAACATTGGACATCTGAACTCCATCCTGGATGTTATCGAGGAGGACTGTGGTGTGTCCATACAGGGGGTCAACACGCCGTATCTCTACTTTGGGATGTGGAAGACCACCTTCTCCTGGCACACAGAGGATATGGATCTGTATAGCATCAACTACCTCCACTTTGGAGAGCCCAAATCCTGGTGAGCGTGTGTGTGTGTGTGTGTGTGTGTGTGTAGCAGCGATTTCAGTACAAGGGTGAACACACAAAGGTGTAAATATTCAACAAAGTGGTGTAAGTGGTACAACTTCCAGACGGATTCGACAAATCTCCTGTTAGTTAGGTTGGTGCCGGTATCTGAGAAGAAGAATCTGTAGCTTGATGAAACGTCGTCTAAGATGTTTAGATTGCAGGATAAATTCAGTTCATGTAGCAGACATTTTATGATTTGCATTTCCACATTTGGCAAATATGCCTTTGAATTGTTGCATCACTAATACACTGATGATCAAATATGTTCCAATATTTATTACTTTACATATTAAGTGACTATGATATGCAGTAAACCTCTTCAATAATTTAAATATGAATTAAATCCAAATTACTTGATAAACACATTTGATTAACATTTAAGAGTTCCTCTTTAAGACTAGACTATGGTTAACCTGAGTTTATACAAGCAATGCAGAACCTTGCAGAAGTATTTCCAACCAGGAAGTTCTTTTACATTTTATCTCCTTAAAACCATACATTTGGGGTTAGTGACAGACCAGCACAAAGTAGTGGACAACTGAGAAGGGGGAAGGAAAACAACCCTTTTTCAGAAATTGTTCCAAATACAACAACCTGAAAGGTGTGAGATGCATTTGCATTCAGCACCTCTGAGTCAATTTATGGAATTGCTTGTTGCTGCAATTATAGCTGCAAGTCTTTTTATTGTTTTTTTTCTCTACCAACTTGACAGATCTGAACATTTCCCTTCTACAATGTAGGATAACTCAAACTCAGTTAGACTGAGTAGACGGCATCTTTGAACACTGTCTCGCCATTGATTGGCGGTTGGATTTTGGTTTGGACTTTGACTAGGACTACATACAAATAAGTTTCTATCTGAACCACACCATTGTCATTCTGGCTGCATGTTCAGCCAGAGCATACAGCTCTGAAACAGACAGGAGGGTGAACCTCCACTCTCCTGTCTGCTCCTACAGTTTCATTTTCCTGAATTTTCTTGTATTTGACTCCATCCGTCTTCCAGTTACATGACAACCTAACTTGTCCCTGCGTCTCTATAGCATGGTGTTTCTCTCAACACTTGGTTTTTCCTCTCCACTCTTTGATTTAGGCCAGTTTTGTGGTTTGCATAGCTATTAGTAGCCTTTTCAGTAGATTTCGTAACTCTAGGTAGCTATTACTAACATCCTTCAATGTTCCTTTCAAACAGATATTCTTCATGTTAAGATTTTTGTTGATGTGTTTCATTCAGCTCAAGGTTTCCCGTTCTCACTTGTTGTTTGCATAATTAGATCATTTGCATTCACTGTCAATGTGGGTTTCCACACAGTTATAAATTAGTATGGATGAACCAATGTTATTCTCCAAGGTTTCTCAATTTTTTTATTCGACTTGTTGTTTTTTAGGACACATCCTTTGTCGTCTCTAAAATTAAACGTGAGGGTTTTTCTTTTAGTCTCTTAATTTATGTTGAATTATTGTTGCTTAGTGCGTGGTATTGTTTCGAGTTGGGTTAGGTTATTTGGAGGGAAGGATTGCAGTAAGAGACGAGGTGGGGAATGCAGATGGATCTGGACAGAGTTCTCTTTTCATTTCTTTGTCAGCTTGCCTTGCTCCATTTCCTTCCCTTGCCCTGGAGGTAGTTTTGCTCATTAGAGTGGGGAGCCCTGCAGCCCCCACAGGGATCGGTGTCACAACCAGACTGTGACACACACATATAAACACACACTCCCTTAGTGCAGCCCCGTGTGCCAAGCACTTGCACGTGTTTGCAGCCCCTTATCGTCTGGTGCACACGCTCACCGGCGCGCTGCTTTCATCCTGCTGCTTTCCTTAGCATCTCATCTCAGGAGGGGATCAGCTTAAAGATGGCAGCCTTCTCAACTCCCCTCCCGGTTCCCCGCTTCACCTCCACCGAAGGTTGTGGAGTTGACTCCCACTTTCTGTGTCTCCCACTTCTGCGTTAAGCTGACGGGTCACACGGTGACGGAGATGCCACAGACCTCAGGGCGGATGGAGCTGGGTGAATGGAGTGCCGGTTGGATCCCTGAGGGGCCTCTGTCACACTGTCTGAGTTTCTGGCAGAGTTTCAACTTTTAAATCAGGTTGCATCAGTGGGGTTTCGTAGGAAAACACAGAATGGTTTCCTTTTTTTCCATAAATTGATTGCGCCAGCAATCAGTGATTATTTTGACCTTTCTTTTGCATTACAAAGGTTTTGGCTCTTGTGAATCTGGAACTTATTAGAAAGTGTCAGTTATTCTGAAAACTTGAGCATCGTAATAGGATAAGCAATGAAATTTCACTGCTTTTATTAATCATTTTATACATAACAGTTAAAAAAAGTATATATTTCTTCCCCCATCTTTTCACTTATCCACCACTTGATGGCAGTCTTGAATTTCCTAATGGTGGCACTGAGGCAATAATTAAGTGCAGCCAGAAATAACTCTGTATGCCCCTCTCTAACAGGTATGCCATCCCCCCAGAGCACGGGAAACGACTGGAGCGCCTGGCTACAGGTACGAAAAACAACATACAAAAAAGGTGTTGAAAACCCAGCCTTTAATTTAAACACACTAATTCCTTGGAGAATAAATTCCAAGTGAAGATATTTTTTAAATAAATTTGTTTTTAGACAGAATCACCAAAACCACACAGATTTTTATTGTTCCTTATGAAAATAATTTGAAAGACATTGTAAATCAGAATGCAGAAAGGAACTTCTTAAATAATTAAAATCCTGTTTTCTTTGGGCATAAACGTGGGACAGACTAGAGATCCGGTCTCCAGTAGCCTCCACCATGAACACGTCTGTTTACTATCTACAACCGCTTGTTTGTAAGGTGTAGGAGAAGCTTTTTCTGTCATCTAGAAGCATAAATGTGTGGAGTTTACTAAACACTTCTGGAGTGTTAACTGGAATCATGTTAACTGGAACAAAGAATGATTATGAGGGAAAGCAGTGTTGAGGATCTGTGATGCTGTGGGCTTTATTCTCTTCCAGAAGCACTGGGAGTCTTGTTAGAGTGCAGGGCATTATGAACTTTTAGAAATGTATCCCATGGCCAGAGTGTAGAAAGTGACAGCTAGAGATGGGCAGCGACTCCCCCTGTAGAAGATGGATGGATAAATTTATAGTTCACATATCACCCTTAATGTAAATCAGACTGCATTGGGGAATAATTTTGTTAAGGGAAGACACTGACGCTACCGTTTATTAATTCAATCATTCTTTTAGGTTTTATTATGCTTGGGAACTGAGACTTTTTGTGTGCTGACATATTAAGACAATATGTTTTTATAGATCTCCTTTTTGTTTTCAGACTCTCTGTGATGGTGTGTGTGTGTGTGTTTTCCTCTTTCAGGTTTTTTTCCCAACAGCTTCAAGGGCTGTGAAGCTTTTCTGCGCCACAAGATGACCCTTATCTCTCCCTCTATACTAAAGAAGTACGGCATTCCCTTTGACAAGGTAAACTCCTCATTCTCTACACATTTAGCTTTCCCTGCCCTGCCGCCTTTACTGAAGCAAGGATCCAAACTATTGAAATTTCACTCTCTCCAATTTTTACTGTTCTGACTACTCTATTTTTTTATTTTTTTTGGTTTGTTCCTATTTCTCACCAACTCACTTCATGATTAATACTCAGATTACTCAGGAAGCCGGAGAGTTCATGATCACCTTCCCGTATGGTTACCATGCTGGATTCAATCATGGCTTCAACTGTGCAGAGTCCACAAACTTTGCCACTTTGCGCTGGATAGACTACGGCAAGGTGGCCACACAGGTAACATCACACTCAGGTCAATCAGTACACAAATCTTATTAAAGCTTTGCACAAACTATTTAAGTAATTTTATTTTATTTTTTTTCATTTTGAATGAAATTTTGAATTGAATGAAGTCTGAAATGGCCGACTGGCAATATGAAGTTGAGCTCATATATATATATATATATATATATATATATATATATATATATAAATATAAATGTTGCCTCCTTTTCTTTAGTGCACATGTAGCAAGGATATGGTGAAGATATCCATGGAGCCCTTTGTGAAGCGTTTCCAGCCTGACCGTTACGCCAGCTGGATGCTGGGCAAGGACTCGACTCTCCTCGACCACACGGTTCCCACTCCCAGTACGACACCGGAGCTGCAGAGCTGGTTACAGAGGCGCCGTAAGACCAAGTCTGCTAGCAAAGGGTACCGTATGCAATCTGCGGTGATCTTTCTTCTCTCTCTAAAAGATAAAAGCTTTTGGGTTTGACTCTTTTGCAATCTTTCTCCTGTCACGGCAGCGGTCACTCTCGTATGCGCTCCAAACGCCTCAGGACCACAGAGGAGCCGGTTGATCTGGATGGCAGCTTAGCACTGAGCAGCAGCAAGAGAAAACCTCTGGGTGGGCAGTCTGGGCCCAAGGCGAGGCGGTCCGCAGCAGGGACCGCCGACAAGGAGCTGGAGAAAGGGAAGAAAAAACAGGCCGAGCCCAAACACAACCAGAATCAGAACTTGCCTCAGCTTTCTGGTAAGATGGCTTGATTAACTTTTATTAGTTCATCATCAGTATGACTTGGAGCAGCAAACAATTTCAATGAGTTTTAAAAATAAGAAATGATGACTTTTCTTGTGAATTTTCTCCAATGCAAATGGGGGTCCAAATTTTACATACAAATGTATACACACATCCTGACTAATATTTGAATAAAGGTCCGTTAGCATTGTGCAGAAAAACCCCTCTTCTTGGTTTCCTGACCTTTTTTTTTTTTTTCTTTGTTGACAAAGCCTAAAAATCCCCAATAGGTCAGATCATTCTAGAAGCTAACTGTTAGCCTGCTTTGTCCTTTTCAAAACCAGACTGGACATGTGAGATTATCTTCCTGCTGGAACAGATACTTTCAACGGGTGAAAGCACTGAGCAGCAGCAAGAGAACAGATGCTTTCACATGTTCACAATGACTGATTGTAAAATTCTCTGTATGATCAGATGTGTTTTTTTTTTTTTTTTTGCATTTTAAGCCATTTCTATCAGATTTTTTCATCACTGACTGATATTTACTTGTTTTATTTCTCTGCTTTCTTCTCACCAGCTTGCAAACAAATGTGTGTTGTCAAGGTAAACCGTGTTGAGAGTAAAAATTTGGAGTTTTCAAAAAAGGACACGTCTCAGTCGAACCCCCAGGCTTTACCGGTGGAGGGCAAGCTAAAAGCAGCCGAGTCTGACCCCCAGGACCTCTCAGTGGTCACAAACTGGAGCCCTGAAGGACCCAGAGAGAGTCCCGGGGCTCCACCGCCGCATCTGGAAGTCAGCGATTCGAGGTTTTCTTCTGCGCAGCAAGACCTCGACTCGCCTTCCGGCACGAACCAGTCTGCAGAGACTCTAATGGACACATGTCTCTCTGAACCTCAGGCTCACGTATCAGCTTCCTCAACTTCAGCATTAACTTTGAGCACCGACACTGACAGGAGCACGCATACGGGTACCAGGAATTACACTAACGACACTGTAAAAGCAGAAAACATGGACGTGGACGTTGATCCTGAACATGTTAATCAACACTCCGACATGAAAGCACTTTATGAACCAGCAGAGGGCGATAGTTGCTCACCACGCGGCTTCTGTGCTGCCTCACAACACACTCAGAGTGTGGGAAAAGGCAGCACAGAGGAAAGCCTTTTGCCTCCCCTGCTGCAGAGGAATGCAGCGGATATGCCACAGCTCACACCAGAGCCTGCCGGGAAGGTGGGCGCTTCCCCGTTGCCACCTGTGTTGACCCAGGAGATGCCCTCCCTCACCCCGGCCGACGACGACTTCACTCATTTCCGCAAATCCGGAGCATTAAGCCACCAGGTCGCACCTGTGCTTCAGAGGGAGACGCCAGCCGGCTCGCCATCCTCACAGGAAGCCAGGGAGGAAGGGACTCGTTTACAGCCAGCAGAACCCTGTACAGGGGACCATGACGACCGCTGGCATTTAGAGGCTTCAGTTAATTGTGAGGAGACAGCAGAAGCAAACACAGATCATTTAGCTGCCAGTGGTTTGTGCAAGAGAACATCTGGCGACGTCCATGAAATGTTAATAAAATCTGCTGCGGAAGGAGAGCGCGCAGCGCTGGAAAGTTTCATCCCCGAGCAAAGTGATACAACTCAGAGCCAGCTGGTTCAGAGAAGCGCACAACTCAACTTGCCTGATCCAAATAAAGACGGCTACAGAACTCAGAGAGCCGGTGCCTGCAGTTCGAACGTCCTGCTGTCGTCTGCTAACGCTGTTGATGTTCCCCAAACCCCTGAGTCTTCACTACACCCTCACCATGAGAACCACTCAGCATTAAAACCCAACTACCACACTATGTACTCTAACTGTTCTTCCCAACACACTGAGCCTAAAACGTCCTCCAGCAGTATCTGGAAGAACTTCACTTCCCAGAGTCCTGCGGTCCTCATCCAGAGTCTGCACCCAGATCTCCCGTCGGACTTCTCCCACGACCCTCTACCTTACACCATGTGGACTGAACCTCAGTGCAAAGAAGTCACGGACCTGGAGGACGCCGCGAAGGACCTATGCAGGTCAGAGAACCAGGAGGATGAAGGTGGCGGTCTCACCTGGGCCCAGCTGGAGCCCACCTCGCTCCTTTCAGTCGGTGCTATCGAACCTCTGGGACTCTGTGAGGATTACGAGTTGCAGAAAGTGGAGGAGAACGGAGCTGAACCCGTGTCGAGACGGAGCGAGGCCGATGCGCGCTTACACCCCGAGAGGGTGGCATCGCTTCACCGGACCGAACAAGACGAGACGGATATGGAAGATGAAGAAGCATCTGATCGTGAAGATGAAGAGCAGCAGCATAGTTTGAAAGGATGCTGCAGCAGTGATTCTTCAGAGGAAGAGGAGGAGAATGACCCAAATAACTACAAATGTGATGAATCTGGCCTTGAACCTGGGGAAGTTAGTGCTGTGAGTTCTTTTCCTTTTCTCTCTCTCTCTTTTTCTTTCTCCACACTGTTTAGTTGATTTCTTATTCTTTACACCAAGATGAATTGTTTTCTTGGTTTAACCTCCCACTAATCCCTCTCTGTCCCAGTACCCAGCCCTGTCAGCCAAGAGGACCACTAAGAGCTGGCGTCACCCTCTCAGGAAACCCACCGCAAGAGCCGTCCCCACCGCTGTGAAACAACAGACTGCCAGTGACGAGGGTGGGCACATTCTCATACACACGCCCATCCACACATCGAGTTATTTTGAACGCGACTGTTATGGCTAAGCATTGTAAAGAGGTGCAGACAGCGCAGTAAATGCTCCTATTGAAAGCCATGCTCAGCAATGCTCATTAAAAAAAAAAAAAAGAAAATAAAAAACATGTTGTCTGTTGTGGTTTCTGTTGTAAGGGGTGGCTCCAATCCAGAAACCAATATTTTCAATTTTTTTCATGGCTAAATTGCAGTGACCCCAAACATAGCTGCCATAAACCTCCTTCTCCTTAATTGGATTTGGAGGCACAGTCTCCTCAGAAATCATTAAACCGACTAAAGTTATCTCAAATTTACAGTCTGAAACGTGTTAAAACCCCTTAATCACTTTTTCTTTTCACAATATGATCACAAACTTTGATGTTCTATGTTGGGATTTCATAGACAGAATTTAAATTTTAGGTTGGTTTATTTAAAACGGGGACTATGTGCAATATACATTAACTACAATAGGAGAGAAATAGTGAAACGGAAAGAAAAGCAAACATTTTTAAAAACATCCAAATAGTAAATTTGTTCTTTGCAACCTAAAATCAGTTTGCATATAGAAGCCGCATAAGTGTTCACCTGTTTTGTGAGCCAACCCAAAGTCATCCTGTGAACCAAATGACGGGATAAAACTGAGACGTTTCAAGCAAGCTTAGACAATAAAACAATATCCCAGTGTAATAATATAACTTTTTGGCCTACAGGCAAAACCCTGTTTGTGGTGGAAAACTAACACTGCACCTCACCCCCGAACACACCTTCCGCACCAGTGGTGGCAGCATCATGCTGTGGGAATGCTTTTCCTCAGGAGGGACAGGAAATCTGGTCAGAGTTGATGTGAAGACGGATGCAGATAATCCTGGGAGAAAACGTGTTAGAGGGTGCAAAAGACTTGAGATGGAGGCAGAAGTCCCCCCCCCCCACGTTCCAGCAGGACATCGCACCTAAACGTAGAGCTCAAATTGGATGCTCACCAGCAGATTCGCGTGTCACCACGACCCAGTCAAAGTCATGACCCAAATCCAATTGAGAATCTGTGGCAAGACTTGAAAATTGATGTTGATCGATGCTCTCCGTCTGAACTGACTGAACTTGAACTGTTTTGCTAAGAAGAATGGACTAAAATACGAAACCGGTAGAGACACTACCCAGATGACTGTAATTGTAATTGCAGTGATCGCTGGGTTTTGCTAAGTATTGACTCAGGAGGTGCTGCAGACAATTTGCGCGCCACACTTTTTTTTTTTTTTTTTTTTTTTTTTTATTTTTTTTTTATAAACAAAAAAGTTTT